CTCTAGAAATGTGGCTGTATAGACGCATACTGAGAATACCTTGGACAGACAGAGTGACCAACACAGAGGTATTAAGACGAATGGGTAAAGAGGTGGAATTGTTAACAACTGTTAAAAGGAGGAAAGCGTCATACCTGGGCCATGTGTTCCGTAATGATAAGTACAGTCTGCTACAGCTTATCGTGGAAGGCAAGATTGAAGGTAGAAGAGGTTTGGGCAGAAAGAAGAAATCCTGGCTGAGAAACTTGAGAGAATGGTTTCAAATACCAGAAGCTGCGAACATAATTCATGCAGCACAAAACAGAGAAACCTATCGTATGATGGTCGCCAACCTTCGGTAGAAGACGGCACATAAAGAAGTTTTGTTAAAGTCCAGGTCTCTGAACCATATATTAGGACTGGATTATGTTAAGAGGATGAAGCTCAAAATAGCATCTGATGGTCGTGCAAATTGTGCGATGGTAGTATTTTCAGTGTTAATACCTATATCAAATGGTAACGATCCACTGGAGGTAGGTAATTGGTATCCGATAACCATTTCTTTAGTGATGAACTAAACTACCAGAGATTGAACTACTAAAGATTGAACACAATACTACCAGAACTGTAGTATTGTGTTCTAGGGAAGAGGCTTGCGGTGTTAGATTATCACGAGAACCAGAAAGGCTTTCGGCAGGTAGATGGCGTTCAATAGAACAACCTGACGCTTTAAAAGGTTATTAAACAAAGATGAAGAGGCCTTCGTCCATATAACATTAATATCTTATCATTAATTTACGATAAGCTTTCAACACAGTATCTCAGCGATCAATTGAAAGGGCCATGAATCGCTTCTGAGTCAACGCAGCATTTAAGTGTTATGTGGTGGACTCGTATAAGAACTGACGTACGAGTGTCGCTGCCGGTAGTAGGTCAACGACTTACATCGAGATGTGTAGAGGCGTTAAATAGTGAGATCCTGTATCGTCATACCTCTTCAATGTGGTGGTCGACGAGCTGAATATTTTGAAAGAAGTGCGTCGTATAATTCTACGGAACTGTCTACCTTCACATTTATGCCTTAGGAGTGGGGAAACACACAACCTCGGCTTTCAGGTAATTTCTAGCGGTTGCGAAGTAAACGTTTGTCGTAACCAAATAACAGTTGTATCTGACAGATACCGCGACCTCGCAGATCGAATTTTTTCGTTTTTATTCCGTTGTGTAATCCATATTATATTCAGAATGTCGAAAAAGGTAGGTATATAAATTGGATAAGGCAAAGGATGTTGAAGAGCTCAAAGTATGTTTCTCGATTCTGACGATGGAAATAAAAAAAATGAGTTTGAAAACGAAAGTAGCTTGGACGAAATATAGGAAGACCAGTAGCGCACCTAGAAATTTCCTCTGGGGGGAGGGGGTTTTGGTTGGGCACCGAAATTTTTTTATGCTACCTCCTTAAGTACTTAAAATTTGTGAATAACAGTGTCAGAATAGGGTCCTGGGAAAGGGATGGGTTTAACCCCCAAACCCCCCCTGGGTGCGCCACTGAGAAAGAGGATAGCGAAGAGAACGCATATGAAAATGGGGAATATTTTTTCGAAAAAAACAAAGTAAAGTCAATTGATCCTAGTAAGGAATACTGCAAAAAAATGCAAAAACTGAATATGAATGCTGGAGCTGTTTCGTGTCAGAAGAAATTTTAGATTTAATTTTACATTATACAAATAAATCTATAGACTTCATTTCAAGTACATATTCCAGAGAAAGGGATGCTAAGCAAACCGACAAAATAAAACTAAAATCATATTTGGGCCTTTTGTATTTAGTTGGCTTACACCGCAGTAATCGACTAAATTTGGAAGATTTACGGACAACAGATGATAGTAGAATTAAATTCTTTAGACTAACGATGTCAATGTGAAGATTCAAATTTATTTACAACTGTATAAGATTCGATGACAAGACAACTCCACCAGATCGTCTAAAGATTGATAAGTTGTCAGCTGTTAGACAAATATTTTCACTTCTTCTTCTTCTTCTTCTACTTTTTGTAGATCTTTCGATCTGTTTAATTCTGAAGCTGCCTCTGGTTAATTTCTTGGGAGGTAGATTGCCAACTATCCCTCCATCTTTTAGGTGGTCTTCCGGGGGGTCTTGAACCGGGCGGATTGTTTTCTAGGGCAATTTTTTTCACTATTTGTAGAAAACTGCAAAAAAGATGCTCTATAAGACAAAACGTAACTATAGACGAGGTGTTAGCAAGCTTTCGGAGCAGATGCAGATTTAGGAAATATATTCCATTAAAACCTAACAAATATGGAATTAAAATTTTGTTCATGGTTGATTCTAAGCTATTTCCACACCAACAATTTGAAAATTTATGCAGGACTGCATCCTGAAGGTCAATTTCGTGTCAGTAATAAACCAGTACATGTGTTCAAGAGATTATCTGAACCTATTCATAATTCAGGACGAAATATCACTGCTGATAATTGATTAACGGATCTAACTCTCGTCAGAGATTCGAAAAAGAACAGACTATCATATGTAGGAAGAGTCAGAAGAAACAAACGTCAACTACCATCTGAATTAGTGAGTACGGCAAACAGACCAATACAGTGTACTTTTTTGCTTTTACTGAAGATTGCACTCTTTTATGGCATGTGCCGAAGAAGGGAACAAACGTAATTTTAGTATCTAGTATGCACTTCGATGGCGTAGTAAATCCAGATACGCACAAGCCAGAGATGATCAATTATTACCATCAAAAGAAATTAGGGATTGACACTGTAGAAAAATTATTGGTTCGAATATTGTAGCCAGAAACAGCGGAAGGTAGCCTATAGTGATATTTTACGTCGTCTTGAACTTTGCTCTGATCAACGCACAGTCCATTCACGTGCTAAATCAGAATTCAAAAATACGACGTAGACTCTTCATTCAAAACCTTTTAGGTCAGTTATTGTCATAGCAAATTTTACTGCAATCGGATATTATCACTGTAACGACCTATTTTGCTTACCTCAGAGTAAGAACATGCGGTAGAATATTGGGCAAACAAAATAATCGAAACTAGTGTGTACGGCACTCAGAGGGTTGTTGGAGAGCTGGGTCGTGGATAAGTTGAAATATAATTGGTCGGATTGGGGTATCTACTAAAAGAAAACAAAGGGATACTTACATTAATCTCCTGGGTCAAAAACGAATAAGATATGGCAGATAAGGTTACTTCTAGCTATTTTTATTTGGACGCCGCTTTAAAGAAAACTTTCTGCTGGGAGAAAGAAAAAAATTATTTTTCCTTAAAATTAAAAATACATACAAGGATTAGAATACTTTTCTAAATTAAAACACAAAAGATCAATCAAAGAATCAGAGAAACAAATCAAACGTTTATTTTTGTCTCAAACAAACAGTTACCAAAAATACTGATTACACAAAACATACTAGATATAAACAGACTCTATTTACACATAATACAAAAATTAGCAAAAAACTTACGTGCTTATCTGTTTACAAAGGAGATTGCTATAAAAATTCTGAAATGGTTCCCAGGTTATAATATGGCCAAATTAGATTATCAAAAATTAAGGATCCTTGTTAATGAAAACATCATAAAATTTAACCTTATATATGGAATATCCTTTCTACATAATAATCAAATTAAAATTGTCACAACAAAAAAACAAATTTAACTAGCTGTCAGGTGTCACATTTAATTTTGATGACAAAGAACAAATAGATTAACAGCATAACCATACATATTACAATTTTTAATTTTTGATGAAAGCAATTATTACTTTAGCCAAAAAATGTCTGTCTTTACTTTGAAAAATTAATATATTGAATTGTTATCTTAAAATTCACATATTTCGCCACTCAAATTTAAAAAGAAACTTGCTACATCTCTGGGAAAGGTACTTGTACAAATTCTCTAACTGGAACACAGGAAACCATTTCTATACTCAGGAACGAGGTTGGGGCAAACAGATGGTAAGCGAAGCTAATGGCACACCCTATGTACTGCTTTAAAATTTTACCATGTTCTGGTATACTGCACAAATCCTTTTAGTGGTTTCTCTATGCTAATCCGTCATATCTACGGAAAGTCCATTAAAAATGTCCACGTCCTTTCAACTTGAGCTGCCTTATCACACCTGCATGCTTCGTTGCTCTTTTTAAGCTATTAACCTTCGTTCGATAGAAAACCAAAACGCAAAATAATTCCCCTCCTGACCTAAATTTAATATCGGTCTGGACGACCCTCTTCTTACGTCCATTACATAAATTTCTTGTTTTTAAAACAGACTTCAACTATGTTACAAAGCGACTTTCAAATAAACTACTTTTAAATATGAAGAAATAACACGTATTATATTGATTTTTCTAGCGACTTTAATTTTAACCTGACAATGTAACAGAGACAAAAAAATATTTCCAGCGTTATTACGCATTTAAGAATCTCTTGGTATAAACAACCAGGGGCGTACTACAAAAATTTAAACAGAAACTATATTAAATATAAAACGCTACACCACAGGTATTCACAGACCATTGCAGCTTTAGCTTTAGAAACATAAGGAGGAAAGTTCAACCAGTGGGGCAGATAAAGATGTTGCTAAAACGGGTAATAAAAGAAATAGGTATTCGTCTTGCTATGCGACAAAGACGACGCGTTAGTTTAAATACTATTGTAAATGTTATACCACATTTTTATGTCTTGAGCATAGCAATATTGTTTACAACAGTTCTTATAACCGTTTTACTAATCCTTCTGCTGATGAATCTGATTAAGTTAAATCTAATTATGTGTTGAGCTATTTTTGCATTAGATTACTAACAATAATAATAGTTATTACATGTTTTTATTGTAATATTGTAATGTATTCCTGAGAAATACAGCGACCTATAAAGGCACTTTATAACCGCGACCTCCGAAAGGTGAATCCATAGACAAAACTATTTCAAACACAGAGACAGTCATATATTAAAACTATTTAAAAAATCAAACATTTTACCTGTAGTAGCAGCAGTTCTCTTTTTATTGGGTAAAGTCCTATAGCAGTCCACTGGCTTAAGCATAACATCACCGTGCATAAAAAACATATTACAATCACTAGCACGCTGGTTCGTCATATAATCGAACTCCACACTTCTCACTACCGAATGCTGTCTCCGCAACATCACTGAGTACTCACTATTTTCTATAATTTCTGTCCCGTTTATTATATCTGGATTCTGATCCGGATAACACTTTGGTACCTTATTAGTCACGAAAGCAATATCTTCGTCGTTGTGAACATGTGAGATTTTTAGTTCGTCGTAATTCACCAGTTTGAAATTAGAGGATTTGTTTTGCGTTAAAGTATCTGAACTTTCTCTAGAAATTGTATCTCCGGTCGAATTGCCTAAAGCTACTTTGGAATCGTGCCTTTTTCTCCTTAATCGGGAATTTTTCCGACATTTCAATACGGAGATAGTGCCGATAGCTAATAAAAGTAAGACAGAAGCCACTGTAGCCGATATAACAATAAAAACGAATTCGAGTGGCATCTCTTCTACCTCCTGTCTCGGTCCCTGTTTTAATAAAACTCTTATAGTAAAGTTGGCGTTCGAAACTCCCGCAGAATTTTCAGCATTGCATATAAACGTTCCAGAATCTCCGGAGTTTGCATTGTATATGAACAACTCACTACGTTTATCCTCTCGCCCTTGCTCGACGTAATAAAGTAAGTGGAGTTCTGGCGAGAGAAAGGTGTCGTTCTGCAGTAACTGGCCCTCAAAATACCAATTAACGGCTGCTTCTGGAATAGCATGCACTTGGCACACTAAGGAAATGTTCCTTCCTTCATCGATTTCTAGATAGAATTGAGTAGGAGAAACTTCTGGAAGACAGGCGAGCTCATTCTTGGAAAGCGTTTTAATTTTTCTACCCGCTAACGAATGCGGTATTTTACAAATCGGCTCATTAGAAAGAGGGTAAGAAAATGTTAATAGAAATTTGTGAAAATCTTGCAAATTACAGTCACATTCCCATGGATTGCCTTGAAGTTGTATTCCTTTTAAACTAGCAGGAATATGGGCCGGAAATAATCGCATTTTATTTGACTCTAAATGTAGCCATTCTAAACTATACAACCCTTCAAAAGCATGTGTATGTACCTTCCATATATCGCAATTGCTTAATTCTAACATATTTAGAAACGATAAGTATTTGAAAGCATTTTGGTCGAGTTCTTTTATAGGATTTCTACTCAACGATAGTCTCATTAACGAAGGACAGTCTTTAAATGACTCTGTGGGGACCGTCTCAAGTAAATTCTCCGACAAATCAAGCTCTACGAGATTCGTAAGACCCTTAAAGGTTTGACCGTTTATTACACTGATTCTACATCTACTTAAATGGATCCTTTGTAAATTTATCAGATCTAATTTCAGGAATTTCTCTCGGTGCAGTGTCCTTAAATTGTTTCCGGAGAATTCAAGGACTTGAGTGTCGGCGTCCAGGGATTCCGGGATAACTAAAAGGTCTTTATTGACACATTCTGCGGTTTGTTTCCCGTTTTTCCAGCGGCAGATGCAGGGGAATGGACAGCACAAAATTAGTGGTGTAAACGAGAGTAAAACTAATATCGGTGTGCTGTTAAACATACTGCATTGCATGGATGTATTTACATTTGTAAATTTATGTGATTTTTTCTCCGCTTAGGACGTCTTCATGTTTTTGAGAAGCCATGACCTGAAACAAAAATTTTGGATTAGTTGATTAATTAAAAAACTAAAAAAGGAAGTATATTTAGGTTAAAATATCTTTTTGAAAATAAAATATTATATTACTAATAGGGTTTATAACATTTACTATAACCGGTCGTTCCAAATTAATAATACGAGTTAATCATATTTTGGTCTTGAAACGATACGTTTAGATTAATAGTAATACTATTAACTAAATAATATTAATACATATACTCATATAATTTAATTAATTACATACATATTTATTATTACAAATATTATATTGTTGGACACTATAGTTGTTGAAAACGGAAATGTTAAAAGAAAAATTTTATTTGTTGACTTGAAGAAGGCTTTGACCGATTAAAAAATTAACAACTGATCGAACATGCAATATAGTAAACAAAAAGGGAGGATATATTTAGAGAAAAAACTCACAAGGCGACTACCAAAAGGGAACTACACAGTATCTTCACTATTAATGAGCATTTAGCGACATACGAGATATCACGTGACACTTTAAATAATAATACATATACTATAAGGTAAATTTGATATATTGACTTAAAGTAGACCTTTGAATGAGCACAAAGTAAACAAATCCTAACATATAAATAAATCAAATTAAATGACGGAGATTCCTCAAATAATTGACAATGAAAAATAAAAGACAATGAAAAAGACAGCAAATATTTGATTTCACGCAAACAGAGCCTATGTATGTGTTGATACGTATTTCGACCTGATAGGTCTCATCAGAACAGTATCAGAATTGTGTTTCGAAACTATTTTACGGATTTTATTTATAAGACAATTCAACCCAATTCACTAAAATAGATCAAACATAGAAACATAGAAAAATGGAACAATAGATCAAAAACCAAACTTTTTGTAAAAGTATGCTCTAAAAAGTGGTCCATAGCATTATTTAATTACAAACTACCCTTAATATACATACATACATACTTTAAATGAAAAAAGTTTGAGCTTTGAGACTTACGTCAATTTTTTCAAAAAAAAATCTCAAAAATGTAATTTTTTGAAAAATTTTGAGCCCTTATATCTCTGATGGGCAAGCAAGTAAAATTTTGAAATTTGGCTGCATGTTAGATCCTAATGAGTAGATTAAGGGGTAAAAATTTGAAGTTGTAGACTTAAGGAATGTAGGAGTTTCAGGTCTGAGAAAATGGTTAAAAATCATTAATTTGAGCGTTTGCGGTAGAGTAATTAAAATTCAAATAAACTGTCTAATGAAATAAAAATTAATGTATTTTCACCAAATTTCACAATAAAAACAAATTTATACTACATTATAGAAATATTATCCTTCGTTTAGAATTTTGACAGTTTAGAAGTTGGGATATTTCATCGCATAAATCTTGACATATGTTATGATTGCGTCCAGTTACTGTTTTTAGTTCTGAGGGTGTGATTTTCTTCAAGGTTTTATGAAAAGGCACCCAAGCTTCATCATGAGCACTTAACTTAAATGATGTTCTGGGTCCACAAGATTCAAAAAGGTGCACGTAGAAGTCATGATGTTCAATGCTGACAGTTTTTATTACCTCTAGCCACCACTTTCCATCATACATACAGGCTATTACCTCATTTTAACTTAGGGAAATGGAGATAGCACTTGTGAAAAATTCTAAATATTTAGTTGCCTGGGATATTTTAAAACATTTGACTTTATTTTCTGAACGCGTGTCAGGAATTTTCAAACAAGTTTTAAATCTCTCTTCAAATTGTGATTCATGTTGTAGGATTTCTTCGTTTTCAACATAATAATACTGAATACCTTTTAAATTCTGTGAACAGAAATCAAACATATCTTTTGCAGTTAAAATTTGATTCTTACAAGTTGATTGTAAACTGGTTTTAGTAACTTCTCTTTTTGTTGTGCCGCCGATACCATCGCACGCATTTTTCCCGTGGGCTGTTGCAAAAAAGTGCCATTCCGCTTGTAGACCAAAATCTTGCTCACGGTAACAGATATTCAGTTCTATACCTTATTCTACTCATTAGAAGTTAACATTCAGCCAAATTTCAAATTTTTACTTGCTTGCCTATCAGAGATATAAGGGCTCAAACTTTGAAATTTTTCAAAAAATTACAAAGTCCAAAGCTCAAACTTTTTTCGTTTAAAGTATGTTTTGCCAGAAAAAATTACAAACCATTATCAGCTTGCCTTATGTTGTTAAAAAAATGCTGAAAACGGAATTTTATCAGTTTACCTTTTTAAATTTTGAGATTAATTTAAGGCATGAAGGGTAGTTTTTAATTTAATATATATATGAACTATTTTTTTAGAGCATACTTTTTAAAACAGTTTGGTTTTTGATTTATTTTTTTGGGACAAAACTAAGTGAAAATATTGTCTAAAGAGTGAAGCCATGTTTTCCGTGAAAATCACCGACACGATGAAACAAAAATGGCCGCCATCGGCAAAATAAATTAAAAAAAAATAAAATTAATGCAATTTTGTGCTGTCTATAGACTGAAGTATAAAGGGTAGAAAAATAAAAAATATTAAAAATAGCCAAGCATCCACCTTTGGACCACTTGGCATGGATTGACCCTAATCAGAAAGCGCTAAGCCAGGAAATAAAATTCCACATACATCAAAATACTTTTCTCTTCCATTATTTGATTAGTTTTATTTCTAACCAGACATATTTTATCAGGAACATATTTATTATATAATTATTGTATACCCGAAGGGAGATATAATATATGACCCCTCAATTTGAAACTCACGACAAAGGAAGGCTCTTAAAACACGTTAATATTGTTTACAGTTTGTTTCCGCTGCCAGTCAAAATTTAAACTCCGGCAACGTGTTAAATTTAGTCACTGTGAAACATTGTAGATAAAGGCTTTATTTGTCTTGGCCTTAATATACATTCCTCTCTGAATATACCGCTGCTAAGTAACTGGCAGTTATTAACTTAATTATATTACTTTTTCTTGTTTTCGTTCCTCCTTTTGTCGAATTGTTTCATTTTGTAGAAAAGTTTACACAAGTAGGTACTTTAGACGAGCTTCTGATACAGGCTAATTGTTTTTCTTTCTGAGTTTATGTTGGAAAACTTTTATTTGGAGAGTTAGGTAAATAACAATTAATTCGGTTTAGTTTTTTCGCGCCTTGAGACTTCTTTACTTGGGCTTAACTTTGGGACCTGAATAGCTTAGCTTGCTGTTGTTTGTATTTCCATCGTACAAAAGTGTCTGAATAAGTAAGTGAAGTTTATGGCCCAACTCAACAACTTTTAGTTTCTTTTATTGATTTAAGACAAGTTGTCGATCACCTTTCGTCTTTAGTATGGGAAAATTTTCCACTTAATATTTATTTCTAAAAAGAAATATATGGTAGATTCAAGTCCCATCCAAATAATTTTTATTACAATGTATTACAATAATCAAGCTTATTGTTACGATAAAAATATTATGACTCATAAAAACTGTAAACATATTCTTTCTAATTCCGATATGTCTAGATTGTCAGCCGGCAGAAATTAAAGGTAATACCTGACCGGACTCCTACGATTCAAAGGTACAGAAGCAGGTCGAATGACTAATTGACCTTCTAGTCTAGTCAAAAGGGAATCGCTGGAACTCTTGAATAACGGCATTTTTTATAAATAGAAACCTTTTTGTGGTTAACAGTTAGTTAACAGAAGTTAATAGAAAACAGTTGTCAGAAGATAACATCGCGTCGAGTTATTAAATGTAACGCGCGTATTCTAAATAAATTATGTAATTATTAGTGTGAGATAAATTAGTACAAATAAAGACTTTAAAACAACTTGTAAGTGTTATAAATGTAAAACTTTTGATAATATATAAAGACAATAAATTAGACTTTAATAAAAATATTACAGTGGTGTTCAAAAGTGAATAATTTACATAATTGTGAAAATGACTATGATTTATGAGCTCACAGTTACGAATTTAAGAAGAAATCTCGAGGACAGAGAATTAGCGTCTACCGAAAAAAAGGCTGATTTGGTCCAACGAGTAAAGAACGCGTTGCAAGAATCCGAGGGTTTGGATCCGCAAACTTATATATATTTGAAGACAGAAATGCTGCTGTCATCTCGTCGATTTTAAAAGTTTCTTCTAATGTAGCCAAAGTTTCTGGTGACATCGCTTTATTAGAGAACAGGGTTTGAGAGTAATAAATAATGAGATTTCTTCTCTAGAAAGCAAAGTTTCTGCTAACATCACTTTGGAAATCTCTAAAGTCACTTCTGAGATGTCTGCCCTCGACGATAGAATGTATTCGTTAAAAAACCAAGTTGCTGCTGATATGTTGGCCATCGAGGAAAAAATTAAAAATCTGGACAGGAAGATGAAAGAAACAGGGACAGCAGAGAGAGAAAGCAATCCAATTACAGTTGTCAATGTCCCGACTTTCATCATGAAACAACTACATGAAACAGTTCGAATTAGCTGCAAGAGCGAATGGATGGTCTGAAAAAGAAAAGGCTGTAAACCTGACTATCGCTCTTTAAGGAGATGCCTTAGGTGTGCTTCAGACCATAGCCGTAGAGGAGACTGATGATTTGTACAGAAAATTCGAAAATGGAAAGAGGAAACCATCGACCACCTTGACAAGAAATATCAAACATATGCTCAGTAGTTAAGACGTATTGGGCCCAGTGGTACTCATTTATCATGGAAGATAGCTTGTTCAAATTAGTCCTGGAAAATGATGACGGTTCAGAGAAGAGCAGACAGTTAATGACCCCAAAGAGCAGAATAGCTGAAGTGCTTCGTCAGTTACACGACAGTCCATCAGGAGAGCATTTTGGTGTAAAGAAGACCCTTCAGCGAATTTAGAAACGGTTTTATTGGATTAACAGTTCCGACGACGAAAAAGACTGGTGTAAGAAATGTACTATTTGTGCTACGAGTAACGGGCCTTACTGCAAAAGAAGAGCTCCTATGAGTCAATACAACGTTGGAAGCCCGTTTGAAAGAATAGCTTTGGACATTGCTGGACCATTTCGAGAAAGTGAAAATGGAGGCAAGTACATGTTGGTAGTAATGGATTACTTTACTAAGTGGGTCGAGATTTCCGCACTTCCAGACCAGAAGGCCGCCACCATTGCAGATAAGTTGATCTAAGAATATATCAGTCGATTTGGAGTGCCTTTGGATATCCATAGTGACCAAGGCAGGAACTTCGAAAGCGATCTATTCCAAGGAATATGTGATAGACTACGCATTAAGAAAACAAGAACTACAGAATATCATCGTCAATCGGATGGTATGGCAGAACGGATGAATAACACAGGTGGCAAGTATTTGACAAAGATGGTGTCCGATCATCAGCGAGACTGGAACCAATATCTTCCGTTGTTCACAATGGCCTACAGATCTGCTGTTAACGAATCAACAGGCTAGACACCAGCCAGAGTTCTATTCGGACGCGAGATACGACTACCTTGTGATCTAGAGTTTGGGTGTGGACGTGGAGAAGATGTAACAGATGAAGATTATGTTATCGAATTACGAAGAAGAATGGACGATGTACACAAGTTAGTCCGTTCCCATCTTCAAATCGCTAGCGACTGAATGAAGAAACGGTACGATACACAAGCCGAAAAGGGTTGCTTTAAGAAGAACGACAAAGTCTGGCTCTATAATCCCAAGAAGCGAAAAGATTGTACTCCCAAGTTGTAGCAGTTTGGAAAAGTCCATACCTCATTATGAAGAAGATCAATAATGTCATCTACCAAACAAGTAAGATTCTGAGGGGAAAGCCGATGATAGTACATCATAACCGGCTGTCGTCTTTCGAAGGTGACCACGACGTAGATGAAGAAGTGGAAGTAAACCAAGTACAAAATGTGTCTGACCTCACGTTTGAGGAATTTTTGGGTGCCTATAGAGAAACCGGTAAAGCAAGACATGGTTTTGGTAGCAGGTTCTGCATCTTTAGCGATTTTAGCACTGGTAGTTGGTTGATCGTTGTTTATAATAATATATATGTACAATAGAAACCTATGAATTTTATAGGTCATGGTATACGTCTATATGCAAAATGACAACTGACAATTTTGTGCAGAAACAACCTTAGTCCCGGTTGTGTTGTTTCAGATATATATGAATATTTTATATCAATATAAAATCAACTATGCTTTACGTGTATTCTGCATTAAATTTTGTGTAACCCACAGAAATACATGTTGGTGTTATAAATTCAAAATCGCCAAAATGTGACTTAGGTTGTTTTTGAAATAAGCGATTTACTAATATATTAAAAAAATAAACATATCACGTTTGTAACGTTACATAATTCATGAAACAAATAGTATAAATAAATAAAATTAATTTAAATCTATGTCGTTATTTATAGAAGTTTATTTAAAACACATTTAGTAGTAATAAAAGGAGTGTATCAAACATTTTTATTATTACTGTATTCTTCTGTTTCTAATTAAAAATTTAAACTAAGCCTTAAAAAAATGTATAAAGGTATATAAAAAATTCGCAATATTTTTCGACTATTAAATTCCCAGGTGGGTAGGGTCGTATGGATCTTGGGTGCTTGTATTGCTTTAAATGCCCTAAATTATTTTTCCCGCAGGACTCATTTACCACACACAACTACGTTTTCAACTTTTGTTTCTTCTTTTGGGGCGTTAAAATATATCTCTAAGAGGGTGTTTTATACTTTTATTCACAAAGATTCCTGCTATAAGCGGGTGTGTATAATAAGTCTGTATTTTCTTTAGAACTCGAGGCGTAATTTTGAGTTATTTTAAAGTTCGTCGTTTTAGCAAGAAACTGTCGAGGCAGAGGCGGTTCAGGATATTTATCCTTTTTTTGTTTTACCAAAATAGTATATTTTTGAATAGTCAAAATTTCTAAGTAAATTATAAAAGTAACAATGACAATAAATTAAATGAATCTGCCAATGGGCGCCTCTATAGGTGAAAAATAGTGCGATGCCTTTCAGATATGGAAAATAATATATAAAAATAATAATAATTTATTTATCCTAAAATATAAATATTTGTATAAATATCCCTAGAACCACACGGTGATGATGGGACATATCTAGTACCGTGACGTTCGGATACGACATCATTTTAATTTTGCCGCTATTTTATATCAAAAACTTACTTTAATGTACAAAACATACAATTGTAAACTAAATAACCAAATTCATAATTGATCTTAGTGAAAATACGTTTATTTGATATATAAAAAAATTTATAAAATACATTATGAAGTACATAAACGATTAAACAAAACTAATACAATTCTTATTATAACAAAATCAAAAATTAGACAATTTTTATTAAGTAATTATAAAGCTGGGGGCAAACAATTCGTTTGTGCTCACCAAACACACTTTTATTACAATGGCCACAACTATAATTTCCTCTCGTTCTCTTTCTCCGATCACAGAAGGCACACAATCCTGGTCTTTTTGAACTTCCTTGTTGAGCGTCAGCAGCTACATTTGTAGCAGAAGGGATATTCTTATTCAGAAAAATAGACATTTGCGTCCTTAGGGCAACTAGAATTCTTGAATTTTGAATTCTTTTCTGCATGTGAGTAGCCGATAAGGCGAGCGATAAGTTCATTCAGTTTGTAAATTACAAAAGCATTCACAGCAGCAGCATCAAAAAATCCAAAAAAAGTACCTCATAGACCATCGGTTCGATTTTCTATTGGTGGTCTTTGAATTACAGGGCTGATCAAAGACGTCGACTCCCCCCTTCGTCATATTGTAGAATTCCATTATACCAGGTTTATTAGAAATTTTATTTACGTTTCCAGCAGAATGCATTGACGAGATCAGAACTGCATTTTTATTTTTCTTAGGATACCAACATTCTATCTGGACTATACAAAAATCGTGATGACCCAGAAATCTCTTTTTTGTCAATAAAGGATTTAGAAATCTCCCTCTTATTTTTTCGAAGGGTGCCTACTAAAGTTAGATTATTCTCAGTTTTTCAGTTCTAAGTTCCTCAGAGAGTTGACAAGACGAAAACCAGTTGTCGGTAATAACGTTTCTATTTAAGTTCTTGATGGGTTTTACCAATTTAAGAACATATTGAGTTAATAACAGCAGGTCACTTTGTGGTCTGTTCTCTTTGCCAACGTAAGGAATTCCTCCATTGAAATTAAATGTTCTTGCATCACAAAGAGAAGTAATTTTAAGTCCATAATTATCTGATTACTTGGTATAAACATTTTTAACGGGCATCTTTCCCTAAAGCTTAACAAAGTCTCATCCACGGTTATATACTTCGATGAACTGTAATGTTTTCTGCAATTACTCCCGAATAAACTCCAGAATTCTCTGAATAAAGCAAATTTATCTGTTCTCCTTCGTTGTTCCCTCGTGATCTTAGAATCGAAGCGGAGAACTCTCAATAAAAACTTAAAACGATTTTTGCTCATGACGCAACGAAATAAACTGGGACTAAAAACTGCAGAAAACACATTCAGTAATGTCAAGCCTGAATTTTTTAGTGCACCAAGCAAATATCGCAAGCCAATAAAGGACTTTATTTCTGTAATATCTGTTGAATATATGTAAGACTGTTCTTTTCTTCACAAAGTCAATTGAAGACAATTTCTTCATTAGTATATTAAACAAACAATCAGTTCAATCATCTCATCTGTGATAAAAAGATTAAAAATATTAATTTTGTCAATAAGACTTTTGGCTTTACCCTTTGCTCCTAGAAGGTGGTAATAATATTTCTCAAAGGAGTTCGAGAGTGCATAATACTCAATGGAATGTCAGTCCAAATTGTTTTATTTGCTGTACCCAAAAAAAGTTTCTTTCATCCATTAGTTCACTTGCGTAAGGCACGTCCATACCTTCGTCATTTTCGTCACAGTCAGAGGGTACATACTCTATATCCTCTAAGTCATAGTCATGATCCGATAAAATATTGTCCTCAATTTCACTTACACTGCCATCTATGGATGAATCGCTTTCTCCATCTTCTATTTTACAAATTTCTTCCACAATCTCCCTTTTAGATAAATATCTTCGATTAAATTTCATTTAAAAAAATATTATGTAAACCTCACGGTAACGTCGTATCCGACGTCAACGCGTAATAAAATCCGAACTAAACACGTTTGACTTACTTCGTGGTAGGGATTTGTATTTTACCATCGAAATAGTTCAAATTACCGATTCTTTCAACTGAACCAATTGAACTAGTTGATTATTTTTCATTGAACTAGTTCACTGCGAACGATTTGCATTATAAATTGTAACTTAACTTCTAAAGAAGAAAATAATGAATGAATAAGATCATATATTTCAAATGGAATGGGTCAAATTACATAGTCCCTGATAGAAACAAGGGGGTAGGAGCAGACTTTTTCTTCACAATTATAACTGCTTTCTCCCTATCTTTCCCTGCTTGTCCTACTAGCGAAACTGATTACTTTGAAGGTTGAGGTTATTAAAACGTATTTTCTGATTTTTCGTGCTTTTTTTTCTATGCATCTTTCAACATTAAGATATTTGAGATTGACAGCAGGGTGTTTCATTCTTAAATGTCTTGATAAATTAAACTTGTTCGTCTAAAAGAACTAATAAGTATACCTCTACTTCGTGGGCATCAAGAGAACGACTACTTAGGAAGGAGGGTACTAGACAGCAGTAGCAGAGAAACTACGAACGCAGCAGTGTTCTCTCGCAAGTAGATAGTAGATGCTAACCCCACCTTACTACCTTCTACACATAAAATGTCAGACTCGATGTCGGATCTGACGTAACCATGTGATTCTAGTGATATAAATATAAAACATCACGAGTTTAGAATTAAAAGATAAGATTTACATAGGATTAATTAATTATTTACATCACCCAGATATTCACCTACACTGTAGAAACAGTTTTGTCATAAGAGAGATTTTAATTTAACTCAAAATTTATTTAAATTTGTTTCGGATTTATTACTCTGGGAAATATGATTAAAAAGTCTTATACCCATATAATACTGAGATTTTCCAAATGGTGCTGTTTTATGTTTTGGTACTCTGATGAATTTATTTTGTCTAGTTGAGTACTGGTGATAATCAGAGTTCAAATTAAAAGTAGTTATATTGGCTTTTAGATGTAGTATACATTTAAAATTATTTATAAAAGGTACTGTTAAAATGTTGTATTTTTTAAAATATTGTCTACATGAATGCCTGTACGGTGAATTAAAAATTAACCGAATTATACTTTTCTTAGAGATAAACACTCTTGTAGCACTCACTACCCCAAAGATTTATATTGAAAGCCAAGTGAGAATAAACAATTGCATAATAAACATTCAATAACTGTTCCATTTCAAGAAACTTAAAGATTAGTGGAAGTTGTAGAATGAACCGGGCTATCATTTACTTTTATAGAAAACTGGTAAGTTAATTTTGATCCATAGTAGAACTGCATGCTTGTGGTTTTTAGAATTAACCATCAAAGCAATTTTTACACCATTCTATAAAATCTTCTGATATAACATTTAGTTAAAAGAAAAGGCAAAAAAAGTATTTTTGAAGTGTGTATATTTTTTTAATAATTCCTAGCTGAGCGCTTTCGGCTCTACAAAGCCATTATCGGAGCTATGCTACAATTAAATGTTTTTATAAGTAACTAATTGGTGAAGATTTTAATTTTATACTTACGTCAATTTATAAATACCACTACAATGGAGAGAGCTCATTTCCTTATTTGTTGAAATTTTGATTTTTTTAATTACTTAGTTGTTAAAAATTCTTAAAAAACATACAAAAAAACCGACACTGGACTTCACAGACACATTAAAAATTTTTTCATGGTACGGGTGTAAGAACCCGACCATTGTTTGCTGTGAGGAGGTAGACAGAATAGAACTAATGAAATCAAATGTCGGTCCCTTTAAACGATTTTTTAAAAGTGACAGTTGACAAATGTCATGTATAGGAAATAGAGATTGTTTTAAATTCTTACAAAATTATTTAATAGTTTGGAATTACTAATAGTCATCAAAGACTTTCTAAAAATTAAGTTTTTAAGCTTTTAAATTAAATCTTATGTGTTCATCACATCATACAGAATGATGTTAGTTTGTAAATTGACTCAAGTCATTGATCAAGGTCAATGTATGATCAATCTGAAAGTCATCCCTAAGAAACAAGGGTTCAAATCGTTCAATAATAAAATTAAAGAGAAACATGGTATTAATGTTATATTATCTGATATTTAAGTGTATTGAGAATTGTCAATGAAATATTAAACTTAAATATCAGATAATGTAACATTAATACCATGTTTCTTCTTTATATTATTATTGAACGATTTGAACTCTTGTTTCTTAGGAATGACTGTCAGATTGAACATACATTGACCTTGATCAATGACTTGAGTCAGTTTACAAACTAATATCATTCTGTATGATGTGATGAACACATAAGATTTAATTTAAAAGCTTAAGGCTTAATTTTTAGAAAGTCTTTGATGACTATTAGTAATTCCAAACTATTAAATAATTTTGTAAGAATTTAAAACAATCTCTATTTCCTATACATAACATTTGTCAACTGTCACTTTTGAAAAATCGTTTAAAGGGAGCGACGTTTGATTTCATTAGTTCTATTCTGTCTACCTCTTCACAGCAAACAATGGGCGGGTTCTTACACCCGTACCATGACAAAAATTTTTTAATGTGTCTGTGAAGTCCAGTGTCGGTTTTTTGTATGTTTTTTAAGAATTCTTAACAACTAATTAATTAAAAACATCAAAATTTCAACAAATAAGGAAATGAGATCTCTCCATTGTAGTGGTATTTATAAATTGACGTAAGTATAAAATTAAAATCTTCACCAATTAGTTACTTATAAAAACATTTTATTGTAGCATAGCTCCGATGATGGCTTTGTAAAGCCCAAAGCGCTCAGCTAGGAATTATTAAAAAAATATAAACACTTCAAAAATACTTTTTTTGCCTTTTCTTTTGACTTGTCATAAGTGTGTACAAAAAACATATCAGTATTTTGATTAACATTTAGTTGAAAAGGTAATTTTTCGGCACTTGAAGCCAATGTAGCAATAGTCGTGTCATCTGAACACCTAAATGGGTTATTTGAACTGATATATTTGGGCTTATCATTAACATAGCATAGGAATAATAATAACTCCAATATTGAACCCTGAGGAACGCCAATATCAATATCAACATAATCACATATAATGTAAATACGATGTCAGCCATATTGAGAACCAATATTTTTTAAATTCTCTCAAGAAGATTTATTCATTCTCTCTAGCAACTTTATTTTACTAATATTAAAATATTTAGACAATAAACTATGGTAGGTGACTTTTTTGGAAACTTACTATAACAAAAACTTTAAAATCAGTAATTAGAAAGGTATTTTTTCAGCCCTTTTTTCTATTCGATATGTCGAATATAGGTCTCTCCCATTTCCCTTCCTTATTCTCTGTCCCATTGCCAGATACTTCCATATTGAGACTGCAACACTTCTTATGTAATCTTTTGACTGCATTTTGGTTCTTTCTCGTGATCACTTTACTTCTAAGGTCTTTAACTTTTTATTTCTTTGTTAATACTAAATGTACAAAAAACACCTAAAATAGATAAAAAGAAAGGCTTTTTGCATAAATATTTTAATCTGAACTTTAGTGATTTACTAAAAGTTACTTTATTGCGGTTTGACTAATTGAATATAATAATTTCAAAACTAACTCGATTTTAATTAGAAATTGTCTATGCAAATTATCTATACCAACAACTTTTAGCGACACAAAATCAAATTAAATGAAAATTTAAAGTCAGCCTAATGGAAGACGAAGTATTGCATCTGCATATAGAACACCTCTTTCCTGACAAATTCTAGAGAGATTAGATTAGGAGTTGACATGAATTTCATATACGTGGCTTGTTTCATCTAATACGATATTAATCAGTTGTGTTAGCGACGCTCGACGACGTTTGTCTTGCGTTTCAGTGTTTATGTTTAATAAATTGTTTTGCCATGTAAACGATTTATCACCCACGACAAAGGGAAATTTAAATAAAGATGTTAAACACTGGTGGTTATACAAAGCTTTTCTTCTATTAGGTTTTCCTTCTATATATAAAATGTGTCTTATATATCTGTGGCTATTTGCCAAAACTTGATATGTCAAATAGAACAAGTTTTCAGTAGAGCGAAATTAAAAATATATAACCTCATGACAATTTGTTTTTATTTTTTACTCGCTCAAATTTTATTAGATTTTTATGAAATTTCGTATATAAATAAATAAAATGCTGCTTAAATTAACAGTGTACATTAATTTTGGAAATTCTATTGTGAAAAATGATTTTACTACCATATCATGTTTTGGCAAATATCTTAGATGGCATATATAGACATATCATGTCAAAGTGAAGTATATAAAATACGTGAATATCATAATAATTACAAAGTAGAAAGTGAAGAAATTTATACTGAAATTCAAACTTGATATTTAATTAAGATGGTTACTTTTAATCAATTTATAAAATAATGTAAAATTCACCAATTTTATTGGTGTATTGAATATCTAAATTTAAACTTCAGTATAAATCTCTTTGAAATGAGTAATAACAATTAGCAAAATTATTTTTATTGTTCACTGTTATCAATCTACATAAAAAGCAATGTTTATCATTTAAAAATAAAACATTAAATTCCATCATTTACATTCTCACCAGTCTTGAGTCCGTGGTAAAATGGATGGTACACTGGATCAAGGTATCGCAGCAGAAAAAGCAAGTCTTCCTTTTTTTGATGTTTTATGGGTTTAGGTCCACTATAAACAGGTTCTAATGTAGGATCCATCTGCTGCCCTCTGCGTTTAATATTAAGGGTAGAAACGTCAAGACCTTTATGTGCATATTTAATGTCTATAACACCCAACTCTTTACCAAAACGTAGAACTTTTATATCATGCCATTTCACATTTTCAATATACACACCTTTATCACGCTTTACATAGATATTATGGAAAAGTTTTGAATACGCTAGAAAATCTTTCCTCTGCATTTCGATAACCGGGAACTTCTTCTTACCGAAAACAGTTCTAACAAACTGGTACCAGTTATGAGGTATCCTTATTTCAATTTGTGACGATTTTTTGGTACGCTCAATTCTTGCATGGTCGGCATCACATTCCATTCTAGTATGACCCACTTCTAGGAACTTGTGTTGTATTTCATTTATGGTTGTTGATCTATAAACAAATAAAGACAGTGCTCCTGCAACAATGTTATTTTTGTTTTGTCCGGGACAAGAATCCGAATATAGAACAACTTTTTCAACTGCATCAACTAAGCTGTCAAGGTATTTTAAAAGACAAGAAGCAACTTGATCTGATACACGGTCTGACAACCCCTCATGCCACATAAAACATGACGTGGTATTTTCAGTGCAATTTCTGATGGTGAGGTTATATGTCCAGAGCACTCTTTTATAGTAGACTACATTTGTGCTTAAATTGGGTGTTGGTAGGTTCTGTTGTAAGTCAAATACTAAAACAACCAATTTACCGCTACTGTTTCTGGAGAACTCCATATCTGCTTTTTTTTCACCATAGGCAATCTGTGCTAGCTCAAGGTGTTTATTTTTCTCTTCATCTACGGCTGCACGTATTTCTTTACTATTAGAGGATTTTTTCTTGTTTTCTAGATAATCACAAGTCTTACATGTATCGATACTAGGATTTTTAAATTTATATCCAAGTTCTTTAAAAATCTTAGCATAAAATGAATATGATACAGGCATTGTTCTGTTTGATACATAGAGATCATATATAAGTTTAATATTTAAGTTGGGAGCTAAATAGAGTCGACTTGTGTGTCTTCGAGGATAGTGGCTCTCATATTTTGGAAAAGACTCTATGTGTTTTACAGCTTCAGCTTTTTCATCTGGTCTAGCGTTATGTGGTTGGCGTTTTCCAGATCCATTAGGTTCTATAAAACCGGTGGGTGATATTTGTTTTTTTTTTATCAAGATATCAATTTTTCCTCTTGTGATACCATGTAGATTCTGGAACATGTATTTGCAAACTTTTGACGTTTTGTCGTTATATGTAATATAATAGGAAACCACAATTTGTCTGTTTTTATTATTTCCTCGTTATCCTTTATCTTTTTTTTCTGTCTTCTTTGACTCAATCTTCACTCTTTCAGAAATTACTTGGTCTTTGTCTTGCACTTTTTAAGAAAATCATAAAAAATTTCTTTTTGTTAATCTATGGAGAGTTTCTCGTGACATTTATTGCGACAGCAACTAGTAAGCGCTTGAAATACTTTTGCAGGTTTTTGTATACCTTTTCTTGTAATATGTTCTTCTCCTAACATCTTCTTTTCTTTCATTTCTACTCTGTTATATTTAGGTTTTTTAGGTTGAACATTAGAGCTATTTATTTGGTCTTTGCCATCGTCACTTTTATTTGTAAAAGTATCATTACTTACTATATCATCCGTATTATTACTGGAAGTGGCTGTTGTTTCACACTTTTTAGATGGCACTGCTTGATATTTACCTGGCCTCTCATTGTCACTTGTGTCAGATGAAGTGTCCGAAGGAATATAATCTTCATCTACATCTGAATTATCACTATTCAAATATGACACTAATTCTTCAGAATGGCCAGTGGATGCAGAAGTTAAACTTATTTCTTTAATTTCGGCATCAATTAAACACCTTTTCAATCCTCTTATATCACTTCCCACTGATTTTTAAAGTCCTCACTTTCAGTCTATAATACTGTTTCTTCGAAATTTACTAAAACCGCCGAATCTTCATGTTGGCTAATAACCATATCAACTAACAGCTTTCCACGCAACATACTTTTACTAATAGTTTTCTTAAGACAACCAAAGTACCACCTTAATTTAGTAAAATGCACAACAATAAAATTAGGTTATGTTGTGGTCAGCTGGTAACCAAAACTTGATATGTCTCTAAAACATCCGTCCACATTTTAAATTTGATGATGACAAAACTTGATATTTCGACTTATCAACTTTTGGCAAATATTAAAATGAGGTAATTTAATATATCATGTTTAGTCTTTAACTTATATCTTTAATAATATTGTCCTTAGACATATCAAGTTTTGGCAAATAAAAATATAAGTTTAAACACATATCATGGTTCGCAAAGCTGAAAACCATGATTTTTGACAAATAGCCACAGATATTAAAATTGGCTAATGATAGTGATGTTGTATTTCGAAAAAAAAAAATATTAAACTTGGCTAATGTTAATGATGTTGTTTTTTGAAAAAAAAAATCATAAAAAGATAAACAGAAGTTTACATTATACTATTAAGATAAAAATATGAACCAATGCATTACTAAAGTTCATTCAATTAGCTCGGGCAGATCATTGTTGATCATTAAAATATATTTATCGAATTATGTAAATGTTACAAATGCTTTTAATAGCAAACACATTTTAGTTTGACATAGCGTAAAAAATCAAATTCACTTAGAAATTTATAGCATGTATAAAGAAAGTTTCTATTATGTATAAAAATATATTTTATAAAAAAGTTAGGCTAATTATTATAATATAATTATATAACTAATTATAGCTAATTATATATTATATCAACTATATCGTTGAGTTGCGCCAAATGTAGGCAACCAATCTAAAGTTTTGGTAGCATTTAGCATGAGTTTCTTGAGAAAGTTTTTAATAAACGTTTAATATTTTCCAGTTAATTTATTATTTTTTTGTAAGTGATGAAAACTTTTTTAAACTCCGTGTAAACAGTTGTAAAAAGTGTAATAAATGTAATGAACCACGTGTTAGACCTGTCAATCAGGAGCGCCAGAACAGGGATATTGATATTTGTGCTTCTGTGGAAGATGGTGAACTCTGCAATAGTGTACAAATTGCTAGTGAAGTTAACGTGAATACTCGAACTGTCCACTAAGTTCTCAAAAGAAATCGGTATCACTGTTTTAAGATACAACGAACACAAGAACTGTTTCCGAAAGATAACTTAAGGCGGATGGAGTTTTGTAAATTTATGTTAGATAAACAGAATGAAAATGTACACTTTTTAAAAAATATTTTATTCTCTGACTATTTTATTTTCATTACATAAAAATACAATCCATTCGTTGCAAGGTATTATTGTAGCAAGGTATTGTATTTGTATTAGTGTTGCAGTGCAAACGCAGCAAAAGTTAAATGTTTGGACTGGGATGTTGGGCGGCTATATTGTAGGTCCATTTTTATCGATGGAAACCTAAAGGGGCCCAAATATTCACAACAATAAACTAAACAATTTTTTTTAATTAAAAAAAATTGTTTAATTTTTCGAGAATGATTTCCGAAGTGAAAAATGAAACGACAATAAACGTACTTTAACCTTTAGTTGTGACTTATTCCCATTTAACACTTTGGCTGCCACGCCAAATCAGTGCAGAGTTCCGTAGGGCCACGACTTTTTTTTTCTTTAAACTATTTCTAAATTACGTAATTAAGATAGTAAACACCATTTTTGACAAAAAATATTAGTGCGCATGTGTATTTGGTGTGTAAGCCAAGAGTATACACGCGGCCCATATAATGGAAAATGAATCTGTGCGCCACGTGTATATTTTTATATACACATTTAAGAGTGGAGTTATCACGTCTAAACTTGACAAAAACATTGATGATCAGTAAGCTCGAGAAGGTCAGTTATTCGCAACGTGCTTTACGTTTATTATTGTGCATAATGCCTTACAAGAAAGAATAACGGAGATTGAGTTAATGGAATGAAAATATGAGCGCTGATACCGAGGATCCATATTACAATGACTTAGATTGATCCTGTGTACAAACAAGATAGCTCGAGTTCTGGCAGTAGTATATGTATTTCCAGTGAACCCAGGGTAAAAAGACGTAGGATTAAGGAGCTGGACCTTAAAGGTTAGTAATTTTTTTCTTTTAGTAGTTTCTTTTGCATATTGTATGAGATTTTATTTACCGATAGTTTCAAATCATCATCCAGGGAATTTTATTATTTACCAAAGTTAGTACACCAAAACGAAACTCAAGATTGTTTTTCCATAGGTAATAAAAATTTAGTATCAAATAGTAAAAAAATCTTATAATAATTGTAGTATGAATGAATCGTTTAAGATTTCTGCAATTTTTTTCTGACTAACAATAACACTAGGAATATGAACTAACCTTTTCCTAAACTTTCCTAACCATTTTTTTTTTGTTTCATGAGGATTTCGAAACAAATGGTTCGCCAAATATTGAGCAAGATGATGTGTCGGATTGGGGCGTAGTTGTTGGAGATTCCAAAGACTTCGATTTTCATGGGGACATTGGTTTGGCCAAATAAGTACAAGATATGAAAGGTGAAGATATATTTGCTTACTATAAATTATTTCTTGATATGAAGCTAATAAATACTATAGTAACCGAAACCAATTTGTATGCGGAACAAACCATAATAAAAGCCATTACGGAACAGACCCTCCTGTCGTCTTCTAGACTAAGTAAATGGACCGAAGTGACTCGCGAAGAAATGTATTGTTTTTTGGTTTTTCTGTTATAAATAAGTTTAGACAAAAAATAGAAAATCACAGATTATTGAAAACATTCGAAAATTTATCGATCTAAAGCGACAAATCGAATGTCTCGAAATTGCTTTGAAAATATTTAAAAAATGTGGCATTTTCGCTAACAATGACTCGCCAATGATTCGCCAAAGGAGACCGACTCAGCAAAATTCGATTCCTGGCTGACTCCATAAATAAGAAGTTCAAGCAAGTTATCCTTCATGACGAAAATGTCTGTATAGACGAAACAATGTACCCTTCCGAGGACGCTTAATTTTTCAAAAACATGTCAAAGAAAAACGGAATAAATTCGGAACAAATCAAAGGATAGGTTGGGTGCCACTAAGATTGTTTTTGAACTTATGTTGCCTTGATAAAGGCATGACTCTGTATACCGATAACTGGTATACCAGCACCGAATTGGCAGAAGAATTACTTGAAAGAAAAACTCATCTTGTCGGCACACTCAGAAAAAAATAGGAAAGGTATTCCAAAAGAAAATTTTGTCGACAAAATTGAAAAAAAAGCGAAATTATCGGCAGGGAGAAAAATGGCATAGTTATATTCAAATGGAAAGATAAAAGGGACGTGTTGATGCTTACAACAATACATGATGAAACGCTAGTTGAGGTTCCAGGCAGAATAAATAAATTTAAACCCAAGGAAGGTATTGATTATAACAAAGCAAAAGTGTTTATTAATTTATCTGACCAGATGTCGTCATATTCAACTTCTGTAAGACGAAGTCTTAAATGGTACCGTACAGTTGCAGTAGAATTGCTTACTGGAACATGTGTCATAAATGCTTGTTAATAAAAAAAGTAGATCAAAAACAAATAACAGAGTTCCGAGAAGCTCTATCTTTAAAAAATCTTGCTTTTGGAAAAAAAGAAATTCCTTTAGACTTCCAACTGCAACGTCCACTAAAACACAGATTCATCCCAACTGAAAAAAAGCACGTTGTGTTATATGCTACAAAAAATATAAGGATGCCAATGTTCGCGCATACGCAACAAAAAATTTAAGGCAAATTCAAACCAAATGTGAAACTTGTGAAGAACATTTCTGTGTCTGGAATGCTTTTGTGGCAATCATATTTTTTATAATAGAAAATAATTTTTTTTTATTTTTTTTCTTTCTTTTATCGTATACATTTTTTTGTTAACTTTTTTACTTGTACGTACATAAAACTTTTGTAATAAATAGTTGATGTTTATTTATTATTCGCCATTTGAATAATCAAGGTTGCCGTATTACTATATTTGATCAATAGTATAAAAAGTATAGCTAATAAAATCGTAATAAAAATTGCAAACTTTATAATTTCTTACTGCTAAGTATATTTTAATGCAGCCTCCGGCTACGTCAGTTACTTATATATAATATATAATAACGGATTGATTACGGCTGTCGCCGCTTCTCCGCCCCCAATTTCCATCTTTTTCTGTCATACGCAGTTGCTTCTTCTAAGTCTCTTGC